GGTGGCCGCGCTGGGACGAGCTCCGCACAAACTCCCGTCTTGCCTGCGCTGTCTGCCTTGCGCCATGGGCAGTGCTCGCTGTCTGGCTCCTTGCAGCGTTTGCATCTTAACTTCCGTGCATGCTGGGTGCTGATTAGGGCATTTAGCCTGCCCCGCCGACGTGATGTGTGACGGTGGGGGAGTGATATGTAGCTCTGATGTGATATTAAGCGGCTGAATAATTTTCAACCACGCATTTACACTCAAAGCCCTGCGAGAAATACTTAGTGCAGAATGGTCCAAAGGGTCCCAATTTATTTTATTAAATGGTTCGCCTGATTGACTGTGTATAGCAGTAGACAACTGGAGAGCAAACAGCAGATATCAATATGAGGGAGAGATGTATCACAAAATTAGCATAACGTGTTTGCCGTATAACACAGTTTTCTTTCCGCAAGGTGATCGGATGGCAATAGCGAAGTGTTAGCCCGTGTCAGTCTCGCTAACTGTGATAGCTTTCACATTTCATTAACATTCAGGAAGGTAATTTTGTAAAAGGTAAATGTTTTGCGCTTATGCTAGAAAACAACACGAAATAGATCTCCCCAGACTACACGTCAACAACCAAACTTTTCTTATTCCTATCCATCGTGGATTTGCGTTCGGCCGGTACGGTGTTGGTGTGTTCTTAAAAGATTAACACCGCTTGTCGTGCGCCAAGAACAGTATCACGCATTCTGTACCATTGCGCAAGGTGCAAAAAGCATGACATTCATATCACGTCGTTTTCATAAGTGTTTTGCTGTGGACAGCTGAAAGGACACCGTCAGAATAGGCGATACGGGGACTTGCCTCCTCTCCACGAACCTTTGGCAACGTTCCCCTGTAGGCGATGCATGGTTAGAAACGCTGGAAATCCTTACTACACCTCCGACTCTGGACCGCTGGCGTAGTTCCTTGCCGCGCGTCTCAATAGAACACACGAATTTCAATTTCAGCCCCAGTGAAGGAACCCCTGCCTTGTTTTCCTTTTGGAAGTCTCCAAGAGCTGGGAGCTCCAAGTTTCCCAGCTGAAATCCGCGAACGCCGAGGAAAAAGTAGTCCGTGGACCCATTAATTTTCTCGGGTCATTTATAATCCGTCCATTTAATAAATTCCGTCAGTTTGCATAAAGCGCAGCTAAAAACAAAAGCCCCATAGTCATTACTCACACAGCTCATGCATAGGCTCTGATAAGAAAGTTTTTTATTGCAAAGTAAATTGATCCTGGGAGAAATGTACAATCACAGCCGGTTATAAATGATTTCGCTCTGGAAAAAGCGATGATGGATGCCGGCGCCGGTTTTGGGCGGCGGCGCGGATCGATACTGCAAGGAAGGACAGCGGCGGCGCCGATCGGCAGAGGAACAGCGGGGGCCGACGGTGCCGAGGGAAATATCGATGACCGCGGCCGTCGGTCCGCCGACGAACTCTCTCGAACGTTCCTCACCATCTGCGGGAGCGGAGTCGTTACCGTTGAAAATGTTTCCGATTTTGAGTGGTCGCGTGTCCCCTGTTGCAAGTACGCTGGAAATGACAGTCGCTTCCGTGGCGCTCGGGCGGGCAGGTGGCGTGGAAATGCCAGTGACCAGGTTCCTCTGTCCAGCCTGTACATGGGCATCGGTCCGTGCTAGCCGGCTGCGTCAAACATTCCAGGCCGTTACTCACAATGTCGCGATCTGAGGCTACCTGAAACACAGAGACATTCCCGTTAGCGAGCGATGGACGACAGACGGTGTGACGGTTTGCATGTGACAAGGGCTGCGGCCGATGTCTGTCATGGACGTCCCCCACCCGCCGCGAACGAGGAGTGTCGGTCGGTTCCGGCCCCGAAAATCATTCGCAACGGGTTTTCCCGCGCATGTCGTGCCAGCAGGTGTCGTTGAGGTTAACTGTCCAGGCCTCGCTGTTGGTTGCGCGGTGTCACTTGCCCCGACCTGCTGGTTTCGTGCTGGTTTCTATGTCGTGTGGTTGTACGGCTGTCACATGCGGATCACATGCTGGTGTGGATCAGTCGCTGACTGGGAACCGTGGCGAATGGGATGGTACTGGTAAGCAGAGCTCCCGAGCATTCTAGATGTAGGGCTCGTGATGCTTTTGAATCATCACAATTGCTCGACCCTAACAAAGAAGCATTATATATATATATATATATATATATATATATATATATTTAATGCTTCTTTGTTAGGCATTATATATATATATATATATATATATACATATATATAATGAGCATTGGTCATGACTTCAATATAGGATATGATGTATGCACGTTACTTACATACGTTACTGGTTAACGCTTCTAATACATCGCAATTCGCCAAAATTTGGTGAGAGATCGGACTTCGGCTGTAAACTAGGTTGTTTCCAAGACTTGAGTTTATTAAGCTGTTTCCAAGACCCAAGCAGCCAATCCGTGACAACTGTTAACAACGGACACCGCTGCTAAGCGTGCCCTCCGACTTAGGAACAGCTGGCGGTGCTGAGGTGTTTGTGACACTCCGCAACTCCAGGGGCGTATAATTCAGTATGACAGTCGTCGCAAATGCCACACCAAATTTCACAGACGGTACCCAAATGACATCTGTATTTGCCGCTTAACTAGGTGAACTTTCATCTGCATTTTCCAGCCGTGTTTGTCATCTCCTTGGCGATCAAGTTTGATGGTCGGCGACTGACTTGAGCAGTCTGTTCGGCGTCCTGCCGACCTGTGGGCAGTTTCATGAAACAAAATGGTGACGCATTCTCTTTTGAAATGCGTGCTGCGGAGGTACGGGCCAAAAACTACGTAATTTCGCTTACTTCTCATAACCATCTTTGCTTTGTTCTCACAAAGCTTTAGGGGCTGAGCTACCAAAAGGTAATTGTTTAATGAAGCTTGTGAAGTGTGACATGCTATTCCTCTAAATCTTTTGGTGATTTATTTTTGTCAGAAGCTTGCCATTCATGTCTTGTGCAGAGCTTTTCCCTAAACGTGAACGCCATGGGAGGTGGGTAGCGGTCAACATGTACCATCATTATGAAGGTACTAGAGCCCATAGCGTTACGACCGAAGAAACTGCGCAAAATCAATTATTTCGCATTTCAGTATTTGTGTGGATAGAAACACATTTTTTAGAACAAAATGTTTTTACGCCTCTCGGAGAAAACAACATTGGGATATTTGTTTGGCAGGCAAGCCCTTTAACGTGGAATTGACGTTATACCGTACACTTGTGACTGCAATCTCGAACTCTAAGAAACGCGATGAATAGACCGAGAATAGAAAGTTCACTACAGTCCGGTCCGCATGCGCTATTCAGGTGAGTTTTGAAATTTGATATGAATAGTTGATGATTTGATATTGCATTTAATATGGCTCACCTGGAGGTGCTACGAGCGCCATTCATGCCCGTCAAAGTACAGTGAACTGGATGGTGTATTAATTATATTTATCGGAGTTTGAGTTCGCATTCAAGAGTGCACGGTATGATAATGATAAAACTGAAGTCGCAAAGAGGGTCCACTGTAGATAAAGCTAGCCTGTTTCCAATTCGTATGCTTACACGACACAGCCAAAAAAAAAAAAATGCTGTAAGTTGTGGTTTTGCTTGATGAACACGCCACAAGTGTATCAGAGAAGCTGTCACGCCAGTTGCCGCATAATCATGCGCTTCGATTCGCATGACATTACCCGATTTTATGTCGGATTTTGCCCGCTTTTGCTTACCAGATTTGTTATCAGATTGTCATCACGCTAATTCCGTTTCACTTTTCAAATGCTGGCTCTGTGTAAACCGGAGGTAAGCTCCTTAGTGATCCGGAGCTGGTGATTGGGCCGACAGCGCGTGTACGTTAAAGCACCGCTGAGCTTCGGCCTCAACAGCTGCGCTCATTGGCTGGTACATGCCGGCTGAAGCGTCGTCTGCGGAATCTGCACGGGCTGCATAGCTCGCCAGCACATGGCTGATCTGTTCCTGACTCTTTGTGTTTTGTGACGCTGTCGACAGGAGCTTTGCGATGTGATGTCACATTACAGAGAATTGGTGACGTGGGCTGCACAAGCAGGATAGCGATCGTATCCCAAATACATAATTAGCTGCTAAGAACTGAACTGTGCTTAAGTCATGAAGCCTTTGGCCCACCACCGCTGTCAGATTGCGCATTACATTTCACATGTCGGTGGGCAGCTTTGTCAGTGAGAACCCCCACCCCCACACCCCGCCCACACACACTGCGATTGACACTCGCCGTTAGAGCGAAAACACGCATGCTCAGCAGATACCTACCTTTCCATCAAGATATCACTTTGTGGTAGTGAATGCCGTCTTTTGACTGCTGCTTTCGTAAGAAAATAAAACGAAACGTGTCGACTGACCGAAGGTAGTGCACGCTGACACACGCTCCGCCGCGTCAGAAAACCGCAGACCCATGGAAGCCATCGGGACGCGATTCGATCAACTCGGCCTGGGAAACGATAAACCGGCGGTTAACTCAGAGGAGAGGCATGTATGCTCCTCTGACTGCAACTCTGCTGCAGTGAGTCAAGCTATGAGTCAAGTCATTATGCTGCTTCACATCTCCTTCGGCGATGCAGTAGCGGTATTTCATTTGCTTCCAATCTGAAGATTAGTCCACATGAGTCGAGATCTGCTTCTCATTCCTTAGTTTAGTTTTAATGGTGCGGCACGACTATTTTCCGAGGAACCGTTCTGACTGGTGTCAGTTGCCATGGCAGCGTCGGCTGCTGTCCCGAGCTCCCGTGAAACGTACAATTTCAATTGAAATGAATGACCGACTGATCCCGATATCTTCTCTGGCATCTTTCGAATCGATTACGTCTCTGCTGTTCAGTGCAGGATGCCGGATCTCGTAGTCCAACACGTCTATAATTACGACAAAACATAACACCAGCCCCATATCAGAGACGAGTGCCGCCTGCCACTCCCTGTGAGTGGGTGCGGAGCTAGGCTGCCTCTCACCACACCCTGCTGTTGCAGATCTTCATGCACAAGTCGGCGATGCAGCTGCACGCGCGCGAGATGCACCGTAGCGAGGTGAAGCCGCACCAGTGCCAGCAGTGCCTCAAGTCCTTCTCCTCCAATCACCAGCTGGTGCAACACATCCGAGTTCACACCGGCGAAAAGCCGTACAAGTGCTCCTACTGCGACCGCCGCTTCAAGCAGCTCAGCCACGTGCAGCAACACACGCGGCTTCATACAGGTCAGTCAGAGGTCATGAGAGGTCGGCCGGGTTACGTCTGGTCCACCAGGGGTCACCACACATGTCACCAGCGGTCACGGTCTGACGCGCCAAATGGCACGCGTGGTTGCCGCGCTGGGAAGTTAACTTTCATGGAAGGTCGGCAGGGCAACTGGGGGGTCATCAAGGGCGAATGGAAGTCATCATGGTCACCTGAGAGCACTACGGGCCACGTCCAGTAATTTACGGAGGCGCTCGCGGCTCGGACAGGTCATTCAGCGGTCTCAGAGTATCAACAGCGGCCATCTCTCACTGTCCGGAGCGAATCGAGATCACTGTGCGGTATTTGAGTGAAAAGTATAAGCCTTGAACGGCAATATGATCCGTCTTTTTACTCGAGTCCTGTGCATGTTTTAACGGCTTCGTTCCTACACGAGCCACGCCTGCCGGATCGCAATTATGAGTCACTGGCGACAGATGGTCCCAGCTGTGCGTGGCTCTGCACGGTCACAGTGCGTCACGCGGTGTTACGGGACACCGCCAGATGAGCGTCAGGCTTTTTGACACAGAATTCAATGTCACATAAATCATCCGTGTATCGAACTGCGGAATTTGTTCAGGCGTGGGAAACTACCTCGGGGTTATGATTAGTGTAAATGCATTTTCTGACGAAGCAGGAGTGCCTCCCCCAGGTAAAGTAAACGTGCTTACTGCAAAGAAATGCGTTGCATACGTTGTCGAGGAGTAACGCTCACTTGTTTTCGGGAATCCCAGGAATCTGGTAAAATAATCGCTGCTCCTTGCATACAAAACGCAGTAATCAATGATGGCAGTGACTATCAGTGCTCTCAGCCCCACCAAATATGGGTGCAATTAGGCGAGTGTCGCTTTGATTGGCAGCGATAGGCGGCCGACGAGGATGGACCTAGCCCAGCGCATCACGTGAGATTGCCATCGTTCGTACCATTGTGCCTTAAACTCTGCCAGCGCTTGTGCGGTGTTTTTCAGCCATACGCCGTGTTTTTTGGTCCGGTTAACATTTTTGTAGGTCATTATCAGGCTTGCTGTCACCGTTATTTTCTGGCGCGGCCGCCACCGTAACCTGTTCCACTTCGTTGGCAGGTCTACATAAGGTGCTTTGCTCACCTAGTGCCCGGAAAATGACAAGTTATGCTCAGGTCACGTGACACAAAACGGCGCTGCCATGCGGGTACTGCATGCGACTATGTGGATTTGTACGGGTATGAGTCATAGAAGCCATCCGCACTGGATTATATTCACCCGTTTTTCCTATGCAGGCAGCAGGGAAATTACAGGACCCATTTTTTCATATCGTTATACCGATTTTTCCTGCTTATTGTTTTCCCACAATCAAAGTCAATCAAACTGTATTCTGCCAATTTATGGTGGCATGGTAGCGATCCATTCTTTTGGATTTATCACTCGGTCACAGCCTGCAAACCTGATGATACGATAATCTCATGGGAAAAGAGGATTTTTCGACGACGGCGCCTTGTTCTGACCATCAGATATGCCAGCAAAAATCACAAGTCGTGCCCGGTTGAACTGAAGACGACTTGCTGCTCCCAGTCGAGGGCAACAAGGTCCGAGGGTGCGCTTGTAATTTGATAGCGTTGCAAATAGTAAGTATCACGCGCGGGCAAACAACTAACGGCCTCTGGTTCCAGATGTCGTTACCTAATTTGGTTGTCGCATTACTCATAGTAAAAGAAACAGAAACGAGCAACCGGCCACATCGGGAAATGGTTCATCGCACACAACGTTTTTAAAAGAGCTGATTATAGTTGCATCTTCGTGACTAGTAGCAAGAAATGTCAAGGCTTTTCATCACTGAAGGGGCTGGACCCGATTAGCGCGTTAGCATGAGGAGAGGAATTGTTCACTCAGAGAAAAAATGAACGGCGACATGTTTGTGAAATTGTCTCCCCTTTTTCAAATCAATGCTACGCTCGCACTGCTAGCAACTTTCATTTTCTGATCATTTGCGGCATATTTTCGCGAAGTCTAGTCACAGCTGACATTGCGAAAATTCTTTCAAAGAGGCTTGTAAATCGTAAGGGTAGTAACTTGCAAGGACGACACCACATCCCTATTTTGCAAGACAACTATAGGTCGACAGCAAAACATGACATTTTGAAGATATAAAAAGACATTTCTTCTGTTGACCACTCCGAGCCTATTGTTCTCACTAAAACAGTTCGCTCATTCAGCACATGGTTGTTGCTCACCATGGTATACAAGCACTTATCAGCATTGCATGATCGGGGTTGTTTTACCCTTGGGTCAAAACACATGCATGCATCATACAAACTGGAAACAAATGGACGCCAGCGGCATGCTCCAAACTCGCATCGGCGATCTCTTGTGCACAGCGCGTATGGTTCAGAGAAAACAGCTTCTGTCACTGGTGATCCGCTCATGTCAGACAACACCCTCGCAGTTCAGCGGAGGAAGCGTCAGACGGCCGACCGCCTCGTCTTGTCTGAATATATGAATATTAAATATGAATATGAAAGATAGTCTTGTCTGAAACGTGTAGCAATCCCTCATGTCATATGGTTACGACATGTGCATTCTGGTATGCGTTGGCCTCTGTTGAGCGGTACGCGCTGCCGACACAGCAGTGTCAGAAGCCGGAATAGGGTGTCCGCGTGGGATGACTGGGCGGACTTGGGGTGAGGGTGGACGTAGGGTGAAGGGGGTGGGGGCGTGGGGCGAGCACGCTTTGCCTGCGCTCGTGTATCGTGGGATGCAGGGAAGAGCAATCTAGCCCAATGCTTTTGCGTTTACCTTCATTGTTTCCCTCCAGCTCCATGAAATAAATTATGTTCTTATTCTCAGCTCGCTACTCACGTGTCATGAGCCTCAACTCAGGCGTAATCCTAAATGTTCGGCACTGCACGTGATGAACATCGTCTAGCCCACATAATAGACATATCACGAACTCTCGCGTCACGAGATACGCTGCCGAACTCATTCGCAAAATGTCGTCCTACAGGCGAAACCCTCGTCTCGGAGGGCCTTAAGCGCATCGTCACTAATGTGTCGGCAGTTGACTTGGTTCCTTCGGCGTCCCACCGCCAAGCGTAGCGCGTCCACCACCATGTTTAATGTCCAATTAAGCTATTTAATTACGGCCCCGCTCCTGTTTTGGAATCCGAGCGGGGCAGACCGGTAAAAAAGGAAATTACAAGTCGCACGGAGCTGCCGTTACGAAAACGCTTCGCAAACCAAAGTCGCCCCTGCAAGGGCTATAATTTCAGCCGGACTGGTGGCTGGGCGCCGCACGCGAGCCCCCGTGCGGACGTCTCACGTCTGAACCGAGATCAGCCCGCGGCCACGTTCGAACACGTGCAGCCAGTGGTCATTGGCACCACGGGGCCGATGCTAACACCTCTGCATAGGGTTTGGCGGCAGCTGACGTCAGTTCTGGTAGCCTGATAATTCAGCACCGGGTTCCAATTGCGATTTTTTCCCCAGTATGCCTTTAAATAGTTCTGTATTTTATGTCTTCTGACTTCTTTGCCCCATTCTACAGGTGGAAAGCGTATGGACTTCAGAGAATGAGGGAGTCAGCACTAATTTTGAATCCCATTCTTGCTATGCATCACCGTAGGATTTACGCTGCACTTCCACGACAGAGCCGGGCAGTGTCCTCTCCTCTCCGCCACCTGTGTACGCCTATGGACCATACTTCAACACCGGCCGTTTTCCCGATACTAAAACCTCTGTTCACTTCCCCGCACAACGCATAACTGGCATCCATCCCCGAATCTGTACACATAGTGTGGTAAGACCGCCTGCAGGGTGAGCCATGACAAGCCAGCGGTGCGCGAAGCGCGGCCGTCGCTAAGGGCGGCGCCGCTTGGGGGGGGAGGGGGGGGGGTCTGGCCGCCGCCGTGGGCGGTGCCGCCCGTGACGGCACGGCCTCCGACTGCGCCAGGCACGTGCGCCCGGCGCACGTCCCGCGGGAGGCGTCACTCGTGCATGACCTGACCCCACTTCCGCTGTCTGGCCAACCGGGCCCACCGCGCTCACGCCGGGGAACCGCGGGCGCGTCTCTCTCTCTCTCTCTCTCTCTCTCCCTCCCCGCTCTCTTCCTCGCTCTCTCTTCTCTCTCTCTCTCTCTCTTCTCTCTCTCTCCTCTCTACTCTCTCTCTCTCTCTCTCTCTCTCTCTCCTCTCTCTCTCTCTCTCTCTCTCTCTCTCTCTCTCTCTCTCTCTCTCTCTCTATCTCTCTATCTCTTCTCTCTCTCTCTCTCTCTCGCTCTTTTCTCTCTCCTCCCTCTCTCTCGTCTTGTTTTCCTGCTCTCCGTCCCCTGTATAGCGTGCCCTTTCATCCCGTAATTCGCCTTCTTTAGTACGACAACCATTAAAGCATATTGTCATGTAGCCCAAACATCTCATTTCTCCATAAGACAGGCCTGCCAGCCTGAGCTGCCAGCCTGGATGTTGTCTCTGACTGAGCCGGTCAGTCTGCTGTGTCGGGGCGAGCTGATCATTACACGCCGTAAGCCGAACTCACCACTTATATTCAGCCAAGCCTGTTCATACGGTGTCGGTTTTCCTCCCAGTTTTGGAGTCGCCTGGTACAGATTCTTCAGCATTTTTTTGCGGTGTTTCCTGAAACTGCGCTTCTTCCGCGATTGTGCAGTTCCCACGCTGGGCGCAGGCCGCTCCACACCGATAAGGCTGAATTTTCAGCTCTGTCAACTGCGTGATGGGGTTTCTTAGATCGAAGGACGATAATGCAGGCCTGAAAGATGCGCTGGGACTCGCGGCGCCGCGAATAGCCGCCTGTGCAGTGTCATCTGGACCGGCCTGCGATACGATCGGCGGCCGGCCCGCTGGCTCGGGGTGAGGTCGGCTGCAGCGGCAGCGGTAGACGCCGCCGCCGCTGCAGCGCCGCTTGGGACCGCTTGGGACCATGTCGCCTCTTGGGACCATGTCGCCGTTTGGTACCACCTTCGCGTTCGGTTCGGTTCGCGTGATGGCACCTCA